ATCTGTTTTTACACTAAGCGATGCTCGAGTTGAATCGTATTCTGCTAAAAACTCCCTAACGACGTAGATAACGCTACCCTATACAGATAAATATACTTGTTATATAAAAAAATATACTAGACTTTATTTTAATGATCACAACTCCTATAACTTTTTTATTTTTTCAGATAAAAAAATCAGATTTGGGATGTAAGTATATGACATAAATTAGGATTGATTGACGTATTCAATTCTTTTCGGTCACTTCCTGTTTTACCGGAAATGAGTACAACTTTTCATTTTTAAATGGCACCCTCGGTATTTTTTTACTTTATTCTATAGAAAATGAGACTCTGAATAGAACTGCATATGTCAACTTTTGACATTTTCGCTTAAAAAAATGGTATTTTAAATTTCAATCCAGGGTGCCATGGCTGTGTTAAAAACCCTAATTTTTAATAAAGGAGCTTTGGAAAAATAGATTTGATCGTCAATGTTTTTAGTGTCTTGCCGGTTAAAAGATACCCAAATCGTATTTTGAATCATATTTCAATTCTTTCAAATGGAATAAGGGTGGCTCTTTAGCACATTTAGAAAAAGCATTTTTTACAAATAATTTGGTACCACACATTTATCATTTCGAGTCAAATTGTTATTCATTATGAACCGCACGTTACAATATAAAATAAACCATATGCGAAAATATCAAAAGTTGACATATGATATGTCATTCTACTCAGAGTGCCATTTTCTGTCAATTAAAGTAAAAAAAATACCGTTTAAAAATCAAAAGTTGTAGTCATTTCCGGTGAAACAAGAAGTGACGGAAAACAATTGAATGCGTCAATCAATCCTAATTTTATGTCATATACTAGACATACCAAATCTCGTTTTTTTATCTGAAAAAATAAAAAAGTTATAGGGGTGGGCCACTTTTCAAACGCACCTGGTATGCATTAAAATTATTACGTATACAGGGTGTCCCCAGATTCCGGCGTGGACATAGAATTACTTACTTATTTTTTAACTTTACGTATTTTTGGAACCAAAATAAGTTCATTGGACACAATTTACCTTTATACAAAAGTTTCTCATTTGTCCCTTAGAAGGCATCAGTTAATAAAATAAACACATTTTTGATATATTTTGAGAACCGTTATTCGTTATACAGATTTGAATGAGATTTTGGGTGTCTATGTTCTTTAACATTTGACTTTTACAAAAATTAAGAAAAAGTACGGGAAGGGTGAAAACTACCCCCACCCCTACATAAATTTTAGTATAAATATTTTCCAACTCACCCGACGACCGATTTTTTTGCGTCGTTCTAGTATTTACTACATTTTTGTCTCTAGTAATACACTTAAAAACGATTTTTCTTAAATTCATTGTGATTTTGGCTCACCCTGCATATAGGCCAATAGCTTTGTAGATAAATAAAGAGCAATCCTAAATGTTTCGCCCCTATTCATTAACACTCTTATTTCAATTTTTAAAAATTATTAAGAATGTTCTTATATTCGTTTTAAAAATTAATATAGAATATATTAGTATAGAATAATTTTATTAATGTTTTAAAATTACCGTTGAAATTGATATACAAATGAACCAAAAAAATCGTTCCAGCCATTGCGAGAACTTATCCACAATATAATGCAAGCAGTGGATGTATGCATTTTGACAAAACTCGTAAAAAATCTTCCGCATTTTCTCTGTATTTTAATGTTCTAAACAAAAATCAAAGTGATTCTGTTTTTGTTACTAAATATAATTATACCACGTAAAAATATAGATGAGAAATTGTGTCACTATTGTTGTGTGTTTACTTACAATTATTTATTTACACGCGTCGCATGTTATTTTCGCTGGTAAATGTAATATAAATATTTAACCAGTGAAATTACAACACATAAGCCTGTTTATTTATCTAACAATCAGAAAATATTAGCTGTTTTGTACTTTTGTCATATTTCGTGATTATACAGGGTATTTCAAAAAATATGTGCCGTCTCTTATGGGGAGGTTCCTCATGTAAAAATAAAATTTAATTTTCATATCAACATGGGTCCGATTCTGCTTAGTTTCGTAACTACAGCTAAGATGTTAAAGTCTTCAGTTTTTTTTGATTTATTAATTTTCTTCCAAGTGCTTTTAGCGATTCGAATGAAAGTTGGAGGGTAAAAGTTACTATGAGTGCTACATATTTTAGTGCTTAAAAAGTGTCATCAGATTCACCAGGGACGTGCATATGAGTTACCAATGGAATATTTTTCTAAATAAAAAATGTGCGCCACTGACTTTTTTCGCCTTTATTAGCAAATTGTGTAGGCCATCTAATGTCGAATAAAAAATTGTATCTTGACATTTTGTCCATTTCGATCTCCTATAGATGAGATAAATGCAATTTTATTAATAACAGTTAATGAAATTAAAATAAATATAAAATTAGTAAATTATTTATTTAACGTAATTTATTACTAAATTTTATTGAAATTTATCATACTGATCTACAGTGCTACCCTCTAGCAAATTCACCCAAAAAATAATATTATTTAAGATAACAAAAGGCCTATTTTTTTAAAGTTTTAACATCCTGTAACTTTAAAATTATGCACTTCCGCACCCATGTTTATATATAGGATCGTTTTTTCATATTTTTTGATGAGGAATCAATGAGTACTATTTAGCATTCATTAATTTTTTAAAGGTTGCTATTAGAATTGTAATCTTTATCTCATCAAGGAGACGGAAATCGACAAAATATCAAGAGACAACTTTGAATCAGCATTTAAAGGTATACTCAATTTTGCTAACAAGAGAAAAAAAGTCAACGGCGCACATCTTTTTTTTTAGAAAAATATTTCTATGAATGTGACATATGATATGTGCCAACACATATCGTCAGCTTTATGACGAAAAGGCGTATCTCGATTTTTGCTACTTTTCAGGAGATCAATTTAAAGAAAATCACTTACTTTATTTGGCCAATAAATGGAAAATCTTTAATATTTTAATAGTGTTTTTGTATTAACACTTAACGGAGACATTGAGGGAATTTTCTAAAGATAAATTGAGCGTAAATTCTAATAAATAATTTATTTTTAGTTGTTTAATAGAGAAGGTCTTTTTGTTATAATAATAATAAATGTATTTCCGAACTAATAGTATACATACGCCCATGCAAAATAAATTTAAATATGATGGTAAAGTGTTCCTAATAAGAAAAAAATACAATATTCACATTATGGATTGCATACAAGAAAATACAGTGCATACATACAAGAAAATATCTAGAAATCACCAAAAAATAATAGTTTTTTTTAAACAAAAATACATTTTTTAACTAATATATTATTAGTAATTATTTAGTTAATTGAGTTGAATGACCAATCTAAGGTTTATCACCAGTGCAACAGGGTTGTAGATCTTGATATTTTCGTAGTATTATAGGTTTTGGACCTGAGTTTTGTTTAGAATGTGATGTTGATAAAATATAGCTATAGTTTTAAAGTTACTTTTCTATAACTTTCATGAATTACCGGCAACAGCTGGTTGAGCATAAATGTATGCCTGTATGAAAACAACTGATTGAAAAGAAAATTAACCAAAAAGACCCGAACAGAAAATTGATCGAATTACAATTAGAAATAAAAATTACCCAAAATCTCGATTTTTTGTAAAAGATTGTTCTAATACAGGGCATTTAAACACACGGTCCATTTAATCAAAAACAAAACTAAACGAAAACAAAACATGTTTCTATGTTTCTTCATTCGTGCCTTTTTGATACAAATAAATATGGAGTAACAGTTTCTGTTTTCCCTGTTGACCGATAACAAATTCGACTTCCATTGTGTCTATGCTATCTTCTATGCTATATCTATGTTCCAGTGTTTATGCCGGATGATGATAGGCACAATAAATAAAATTTTCCAAAAATTGGCAGGGATGACAATGACAATGACCTGACAATGATAATGAGATGAAAATCATTGTATTTTTCGGGGAACTTTTTAGTTCGCTAAAATGTTCTTAGGGAAATTATGATTTCGGAAAATTTTCCATTAGGGCAATCTTCGTTTCGTTGTTTTTCTTTCGGTCAATTTTTCCTTCGGCCATTTATCAACGGACAATTTTTTGGATACCTAATACAGCTATGTCCACAGTCTAGCTCATTCTGACCATGGTTTTGGCAAAAAATAATACTCAAAATCACACTGTAATAGAAAGCTGCTGCAATGATAGAAGTTTTATTTTGTCCAATCATCAGAAAAGCATTAGGCGGAATGTGTGATTTTCTCTCGCATGCATTTTCATAACTTAAAACAAAAGGACCTATCTCAAATTCCATCTTTCTTGTAGTATAACAATTGGTAGAACAATTGATATAACAAAGAGCCCTATCTCAACATACGTCTCTTCGTCATAACGAAGAATTCTAGCAAATGAGATGGGGCAAATTTTTAAATGAATATAAAATGAAAAAGGTATAATATTGAGATGCGCAAATTTGCTATATTAAAAAATGACCCAATGGGCATGTCATGACGTTGATATCTCAAAATCGCCAAAAATCGAGATACGCCTTTTCGTCATAAAGCCGACGATATGTACGTCCCTGGTGAATATGTCGACATTTTTTTAGCATTAAAACATGTCGCACTTATAGTAACTTTTACCCTCAAAATTTCATACGAATCGCTAAGCACATGGAAGAAAATTATAATAAATCGAAAAAAGATGAAGACTTTAACCCCCTGTATCTACAAAACTAAGCAGAATTGGACCTATGTTAATATGAAAATAAATCTTTTTTTACGAGAGGAATCTCCCCACGACAGATGGCACATGTTTTTTGAAACACCCCGTATTTGTAAATGATGGTAGATGTTTTCCCTCTTGAAATTAAAAAAGAAGACATAAAAGAGTATTAATTTAAAAATATAATATATTTGTGAAAAATATACATTCAAATCACTAATATAAACCTATTTTATACATAATAAAAAAATAATAACTAAAATATATTTTATATAAAAAGGACTAATAACTAATAACACTCTTCTAAGAATAGCATTTATAAAATATTTGCAAATCACTATTCATTTTTATTGAAAAACAAATGGATTTTAAAGTCCAAGGCAACACATTTCTCAATGGATTACTATTCAAGTAGAATCTTTTTTTATCTTATGTGAATTTATTCAAAAAGAAAATTTTATTACAACTGTTACGTTTTACTAGGGATTCCGAATTATGCCAATTTTCCATTGACTCATTGCTAAGATATTGGGATTATGGACTTAAAGTGGGCGCATTTCAAGGAGGTAGGAGCGTCATCAGTGACTGCAAGAAGTTTATTCTCTAGCGATAGGTGTATAATATCTTCTTCCTATTAACCAATATAAGTCTTTTATTTTCAATTCGATTCACACGAGAGATGCTTCTATTACATTTAGATGTCTTTGTAATAACATGGAAGCTGTTTCAGGCTTTTTGTCGACAGCCATAATTACTGTCATCTGCAAAAATAGCTGTTGGTATCGTTTGTGGGAAAGTCTGCTGTATAAAGGACATAGAGTAGTGGTCCTAGGACACTACCTTAATGATCTATGGACCTTGGTGATCCATGAGCGCGACTTTAGATATTGTTATTCTACGCTATAAGATAATATTTCGAATTATATCGCGCGGCATTATCTAACGTCGAGGAGGCGTTCACCGGCAAAATATTGATGACGCTCCTGTTTTTTTCTTAAAATACGCTCACTCTAATGAATAAATAAGCTATATAATTTGGTTGAAAATACAGGGTTATTTCAGTATAACTAAAGCTGGCTGTAAACATTTAACTTAATGCCTTTTTACGTAATGTAGAAAAATTATGGAATGATAAAAAGGAACAAAAAACGTACTACAATGATATAGAGTTATTACATATAACTAAATTGTCAACCACACATTTAATATACAAAATGTACACTTATAAATTCAAACATCATCGTTCATTAAAAGTTGTATTAAAGTAGATTTAGTTAAATCTTCAGAAAAGGCTTTCATTGAGGTGTCAGTTCTAGTTTTAACATTCTTGGGACACTTTTTATATCTAAATATAGTACAAAAATGAGTAGCACATACAGAAGACTGATTTTGAGTGTTTTTATATATTTTTCTTGTTTCATTAAATTTAACATTATCAACAGCTTCAAAATTACTTAATATTATAGGTCTATTCTTATTAATATGGTTCAAACAAAATGTCTTTATGGCCAGTATATCTGCGCTACTATTCTGAATAATGCCTGGAGATAATGGTAACATGTATTCATTTAAATGTAAAAAGATAGAAAATTTACTGTGAGTCTTAGTTCTCATCTGGCAATCTTTTTCCATTAAAGCACTTGATAAGTTTTCTGAAATAGATGAAGGCACATTCCAATTCAAAAAAGTGATTAATAAATTCAATGGATTAGCAAAATTTCTCAATAGTTTTATTAACCCATAAGGAATATTTTGCTCAAGGTAAATGAGAAAGCTATCAGCACCATTCAACTTGTGAAAACTTAAAAATTCAAATAATGCTTTCTTTGTAAATTTGCGTACCGCAACACAAATTGTCATATTTAAACTTTGTTTACTTGTTAATGAATTTGTAACAAGAACTGAATTATACCTATATTCTGATTGTACTTTGAATGCTACTAAATAAGGTTCTTTTGATGTCATAGATAATTTACAGGAATACATAAATGCCACCATATTACTATTATTATTCTCAAATAGTTTCTGTACACTTAGTTTTCCAGTTTTAAATTTACCTTCATTCTCATACAATATATAGCACATATTTGGAAAAGTCTTTGTGTTTTCTTTTAAAGTAATTCCATTAATTATGTTTTCCTTAACTAAAAAAGCATTGTAAATGTACCATCGTGAATCAACTTCTTGCCATATTGATAAGGGTCCCCAATCATACTCAAGTTGAACCCTCTCACTATTCTGAAGCTCTGAAATATTACAGGGTGTTCCGAAAAAATTAAACACTTCCAAAACATGATGCAATCGATTGTACTGATGCCTATAGGCAAGAAACAAGCCAAGACTAACTATTGAAATGATAATTAAAAGGAGACGTTGATATTTCTTCATGGTAAATTTTTAGGAAAATATATGTCATTTCTTAGTTTAGCTTTGTTGGGGCTGGTTATTTACAAAAGGCTAGCGTACTAGAGTTATGTAATATGCCTTACTGTTACAGACTCTAGCAGTCAGCTATAACAGGCCATTGCCAGAATTATTCAAATTAAAAAAAAACAATAATCACAGAACAATAATAAACTTCTAGAAAAAATTAGGTTATATCTTCTATCCACAGCTTATATCATGTCTTGTCTATGGTCTTGTCCTTGTATGTCACAGATCAGAGAAGAAAACCGATAAGGATGGGTAGAATTTTTTTGATGTATAAATGAACCGGTATGGATGAGTAATGGTTATTTCTTTAATATTTTATTACGACTTCTTCACTTTTCGACTTTGATCTGTTTGGGCTTACTTCGCGAGTAGTGCAGAGGTCGTATATTCTACTATGTTGTGTTTCTTTATTTTTGTAAAAAAAAGTTACATGTTTGTAAAATAGTCTACAAGAGCATTAGATATTAGATATATAATCATAAAATAATAGGGCGCGTTCAGGGACGATCAGCGGCTGAGTGGCTGAGTAAGCGGTTTCCCAACGGCCTCTTTTTACACGCAAAAACAGTCAGCCGCTGAGCAAAATACTCAGCTGTCGGTCAGCCGCTGTGTTCCCTGAACGCGCTCATTGATAAAAAAAAGCCTGAGTTACAAGTTAATTACGTCTCAATCTGGTCTCAATTACAAATGGCTTGTCGTATTCAAAGGTCTTTTTAGATCATATATAAAATAAATAAAAATATATGTCATTGGTTTATTTTTTTGCGGACCAACCCTAGAAATGCAATTTTTTAATCTATTTTCTGTGGCAATCCTACATAACCTAGAATCGATGCCTAGAATCTAGAATAGTTTTCAAATTTTTTATTTATTTCTCTTATTTCTAATAATTAATGCTTTTATTGTATATGTATTTATCTAAATCATGAGCGCTACCATAAAAGATAATAATAAAAAGCGTAGTTGGAGTGAGGTAAATAAAAGTAAAAAGGCAGAAAGGAAAAAATGGAAAGAAGTAAATTTAGAGAAAAAGATGAAAAAAGAGCTGACTGGAGCTGAAATTAATCAAAATTTAATTGCAAATCAAGAACATATAACAGCACTCAAAAGATTTTCATCTATTTCTATAGCCGTTCCAGGTTCTATTATAGAAAATGCCCAATCTCCCGAACTAAAAACATACTTAGCTGGTCAAATTGCAAGAGCTGCTTGTATTTTTCAAGTAAGAATGTAATCTGATTAAATGTAAAATGTATATGGAATGTTTATTGTTTTTTTAGGTTGATGAAATTGTTGTTTTTGATGATTATGCAGATGAAGTTACTGCCAAAAAGGCAAAGTTCAATGATAATGTTGGTGAACAAGTGGCTAGGCAAAGTTGTGTACAATTGGGACGAATATTACAGTATCTTGAATGTCCTCAATATTTACGAAAAAGTTTTTTCCCGATTCATAATGATTTAAAATATTGTGGTATATTAAATCCCTTAAATGCCCCACATCATTTGGGCACTAAAGATGAGTTTATTTTTAGGTATATATTGTATAAAAGTAATTTGTAATGCAAAATTATTTTTGAGTTCTAAAATTTTAGGGAAGGGGTGGTTTTAAATACACCTGTTAAAGTAGGAAAAGGATCTATAGTCAATGTGGGATTACTTCAGCCTGTTCAAATTGATAAAACCTTAGTTCCAGGTAAATAATGCTTTTTAGAAAAATATAATCTTGTGATATTTATAATTTAGGGATTCGTTGTACTGTAAAGCTACTTCCTAGAGATACAAACAGTAAAAAGTTAAAGGGAGTAGTTGTATCTCCCCTTTTGCCTAGAAGTGAAACTGGAATATATTGGGGATATGCTGTAAGAATAGCAAAGTCCTTATCAAAGGTTTTTTCTCAATGTCCATACAAAGAGGGGTAGGTACTGGGTACTGACATAATAGTAATAAACAATATAAACATTTTCATTTCAGGTATGACTTAACCATTGGAACATCAGATAAGGGAAGCTCTGTTGATGAGTTTGATTGTCCAAAATACAAACATTTGTTGATAATGTTTGGTGGATTACAAGGTTTAGAATCAGCTTTAGAAAATGATAATGTTTTGGATGCTGATGATCCTAAACTACTTTTTGATTACTATTTAAATACCTTACCTGAACAGGTATATACACTCTATATATATATATATATATATATATATATATATACAGGGTGGTCCGAATTGTATTCCGGAAACTTCGGCAGCATATTCTGCAGATAGAAATAAGTAAAAAAGTTCGTATAAATGTATGTCCTAAAATGCTTAGTTTCGGAGATACAGGGTGTAGAAGTTTCATTTTTATTTCAATTTTTTCTAAATAATTTCTGCAGTAACGTCAATATTTGGATGAAAATTGGTATCTGGGAGTTTTTTGTCATGAGAAATTTGATTTTGATGTCAATATGATTCCTACTGATAAAGGGCGCCACCTACATGTGTTTTAACTCTTTTGAAACGTAATAAATTTTTGTCCGTACCTGTATAAAACTACCGAGGGCAAAAATATACATCTCTGTTATTTTTTACGTAAAAAATATCTCTTTGAAAAAAACGCTACGAGCAACCGTTCTCGAGATATTTAGAATGGAAATAGTCAATACATGTCATTATTGACGAAAAATAAACACGTTAAGTAGATAGTTTTTTCACTGAAATAATAAATTTGGGAAATTTTTATTTTTTTAAATTATGTAATCATAAATTTTTCTGCAAAAAAATTATGATAAAACAGTTTCTGTTGAACTTTTGGCACAAAAACTTTCAAATTTATGATCAAATAACTATTTAGTCAACATGTTTAATTTAAGCCAACGACGACAGGTATTGATAATTTTGATTCCAAATATCTCGAAAACCAATACTCATAGCGATTTTTTCCTTAGATTAACAATAAATTTTTTCCAAGAGATATCTTTTACGTAAAAAACGTCGTAAATGTATATTTTTTTACTCAGTAGTTTTATACAGGTACGGATGAAAAGTTTTTACTTTCAAACCAGTTAAAAAATATGTAGGTAGCACCCTCTACTAGTAGTAGGAGTCATATTGACATTAAAATCAAATTTCTCATGTCAAAAAACTCCGAGACACCAATTTTCATCCAAATATTGACGTTACTGCAGAAATTATTTAGAAAAAATCGAAATAAATACGAAACTTCTACACCCTGTATCTCCGAAACTAAACATTTTACGACATACATTTATACGAACTTTTTTACTTATTTTTATCTGCAGAATATGCTGCCGAAGTTTCCGGAATACAGTTCGGACCACCCTGTATATATATATATATGTCTTTTGATCTACTTCTAAAATTGTCTTATTTTGTATAGGGTTCAAAGACCATAAGAACTGAAGAAGCCATATTGGTGAGTTTATCAGCATTACGATCAAAATTAAATCCGGAATTTGAAGTTCAAAAGTTTGATGAGACTAAAGTGTACTGTAAAGATTCTGCCGTTACTGAGGACAATGTAGATGCTGTTGATTCAGAAATAAATGAAGCTAATAATAGTAGAAGTAAAGAAGTTGAAATTAAAAATGATATGAGTAGATTTGATTCAGATTAGTTTTGTAAATAAATATATACAAAATACCCTCAAAAAAATAATATTTATAAACACCTATAATGCATTTTTATTTTTTATTAAAATACATTTAGTAGATTGTATTTACATGAGGGTGGGAAAAACTCATCTGCAGACGTTTATTTTATTGAACTAAATATTTTGTTTAGAAATAAATATTATTTTCAAAATAACGAAAATTGGTTTAGTATTAGTAGTTAGTTATTTTACTTATCAGCTTAGTATCAGAAGGGTATCAGCAAAAGGGCGAAAGTGAATTTTTAATATGAAATGTAAAAAATGAAAGTAGTTATATATACACCCATCCCTGGTTTACCTTTAAATTTTAGCAGTGTCTCCTCTTTGGCAGTGTCTTGTGGTTCAAAAGCAAAACTCTATGGTTTAGTCAAAGATGATTTAATCTATGGTTGGTACTTTGACTTTGACAGAAGAAATTTTAAAGTTTTAACAGGTTGTAATTTTTGGAAAACTTTGTTTTTCTTTAAAAATAAAGTGATTTATTTATACTAGACTGCATAATTATTAAAATGAGTGACAGTAGTAGTGATGAATGTGATACACAACATGTTTTATTCAAAAATAGACCAGAATGGAGCGATGTTACACCTTTAAAGCAAGATGACGGTGACGAGCCAGTTGTCCTTATTGATTATACTGAAGAATGCAAGTTTTTTAATAGATATATTACTCTTAATAAATATAAAATAACAATAATATGTCAACCATATAAATAATACTTATTTAGATGATGTTGACATATCTACTTTATATTTAAAAATAATTGGAAAATTATGTATTTTAACCATAGTCATATGCTTTATAGTTGAAGACTGCTTTGACTATTTTCGAGCTATAGTACAAAAAAAGGAATATTCCGATAGAGCATTACAGTTAACTAAAACTGCAGCTAGTTTAAATCCAGCCAATTATACTGTTTGGCAGTACAGGTATTTGTGACCACAACTACATAAGTAACTTTTTCTTAATTAAACTAAATCTCCATTATTAGGCGAGAAATACTTAAATCGCTTGGTAAAGATTTACATGAGGAATTAGATTATATAGGTAAAGTTATTTTGAAGCAAACCAAAAATTACCAAGTTTGGCATCACAGACGCATTATAGTTGAATGGTTACAAGATCCATCAAAAGAAAAGTATCTCACAGAAGAAGCGTTGGCTAAAGATCCCAAGAATTATCATGCTTGGCAACATAGACAGTGGGCTATAAAGACTTTCAAGTAGATGTTTAATTTATCCGTTCACTGAAATTTATTTATATACATTTATAATTTTTATAGTTTATATGATGAAGAATTAGCTTACGTGGATCAGCTTTTAAAAGAGGACGTAAAAAATAATTCTGCATGGAATCAAAGGTATTTTGTAGTAAACAATACAACAGGCTTTACAGAACAAATTCTTAATAATGAAATAGATTATACATTGGGAAAGATAAAGCTTTTAATAGAAAATGAAAGTTCATGGAACTACCTAAGAGGGTAAAATAAGTAAAGAGGAAAAATAAATCTATTATAATACAGCTCTTTTTAGTCTTCTTGTGCATGATAAGAAAGGTATAAGTCATAACAAAAAGGTGGCCGATTTCTGTGAAACTTTATACAATGAAGGAAACAGATCACCATTTCTTTTAGCAGTGATTGTTGATATGTGTTCAGAGCAGTTGACCTACGATGGGGGTGATGGTGATAGCATTTATACTGTAATGAGAGCCAAAGAGTTGTGTAATGATCTAGCAACTCAGTATGATACTATTAGAGCAAAATATTGGGTAAGATTACTTTTGATGTAGTTTTACAAATTCTGCTGAGACAACAAAAGTTATTTTGCATTTTTATGATTAATAAATTGATTTTTCTGCAGAATTACTACAATTTTTTTTTTATTAATAAGGTTTATTAATATTAATTAATTGTTATGTTTAATACTTACCGTGTATACAGGGTGGTCCGAACTGTATTCTGGCAGCATATTTTGCAGATAAAAATAAGTAAAAAGTTTGTATAAAAAAGGAATGTCCTAAAATGCTTAGTTTCGGAAATACCGGGTGTAGAAGTTTCATTTTTATTTCGATTTTTTCCAAATAATTTATGAAGTAACGTCAATATTTGGATGAAAAATTGTGTGTTACTTGTAGAGGACGCCACCTACATATTTTTTAATTGGTGTGAAGAGTAAGAATTTTTCGTCCGTACCTGTAAAAAACTACTGAGTAAAAAATATACATTTACGACGTTTTTTACGTAAAAAGTTCTCTTGGTAAAAATCGCCACAAGTAATGGTTCTCTAGATATTTGGAATTGAAATTATCAATACCTGACATTGACATAAATTAAACATGTTGACTAAATAGTTATTAGACTGAAATCATAAATTTGAAATATTTTTGTGCCAAAAGTTCAAAAGAAACGGTTTTATCATCATTTTTTCGCAGAAAAATTTATGATTAATTTAAAAAAATAAAAATTTCGCAAATTTACTAATTCAGTCAAATAACTAATCTACTCAACGTATGTATTTTTTGTGAATAATGAGATGGATTGACTATTTCCATTCTAAATATCTTGAGAATGGTTGCTAGTAGTGATTTTTACCAAGAGACATTCTTTACGTAAAAAGTCACGGAAATGCATATTTCTTCACTCAGTAGTCTTATACAATAGGTAGGATTGAAAAAAACTTATTTTCAAATTTGATAATGGCCTAGGTGGCAAAAGTTGCCAATCATAAAAGTGAGTTTTTTTGCCAGAATTTTTTTTTAAACCAACCCCTTCAGGTTCTCCAACCCCCTCAAATTTTTTTTTTTTGAAAAAAAATCTGTTACGCCTTAGGTGTAAACTCTTCTTGAATGTGTAAAATGTGTTGAATGTTTAAAAGTGTGCGTTCAAAAATTGGAGGCTCTCGGAACATATTTGGAGGTGCCCCAGAGACTTAACAGAAAAAAATGAAATCCAATCTCATGTACAGGGTGATTCAAACTTCCCGCCCTTGGCTTATAACAGGAAAAGGAAAACTGCAAATACAAATTTTGAAGACAGGATTTCAATGGCAATGTGTAAGGTATATTGTTTCGTATTTAAACATTTTTCAACTTTTTTCAAAATGGTGGAAATGACGTCAAAAAAAATATTTTTTTCTCAAAGTCATCATTTTTTTTCATATTCTGAAAGAACATGTTTTTTTAAACAACTTTCATTAAAGAAGTTTTTCTCTATCTTTGTTTGGTTACAAGCTATGGGACTCTAAATTTAAAATTTTTAAATAAATAATTTAAAAATAACAAAAAAAATAAAAAAAAATAATAATAAATACTACTGTCAAGTAATTTATTTTTTACCAGGCGACTTGATTTTTATGAGAACGTCTGAATATTGCAATGAATTTGGCTGAAGGGGTTAGTTGAGATTTATTTAAACATTTTATCTTTAGAGTCTCATAGCTTGTAAACAAATAAAGATAGAAAATAATTTTTTTAATGAAAGTTGTTTAAAAAAATATGTTCTTTCAGAATATGAAAAAAATGATGACTGTGAAATTCAGCCATTCCACTATTTTGAAAAAAGTTGAAAAATGTTTAAATACGAAAAAATATACCTTACACACTGCCATTCAAATTCTGTCTTCGAAATTTGTATTTGCAGTTTTCCTTTTCCTGTGATAAGCCAAGGGCGGGAAGTTTGAATCACCCTGTACATAATACACTTTTAGCTGAAATCTAAACAAATTAACGAAATAATTCGTTACCTATTATACAGGTATGGACAAAAAGTTACTTTAAGTTACTTTTCATACCAGTTATAAGACATGTAGGTGGCGCCCCCTACAAATAGGAGTCATATTGATATCAAAATCAAATTTCTCATGTCAAAAAACTCCCTGACACCAATTTTCATCAACGTTACTTTAGAAATTATTTGGAAAAAATTGTAATAAAAATGAAACTTCTACACCCTGTATCTCCGAAACTAAGCATTTTAGAACATACATTTATACGAACTTTTTTACTTATTTTTATCTGCAGAATATGCTGCCGAAGTGTCCCGAATGCAGTTCGGACCACCCTGTGTATCATTTCAAATTGAATCTTAAAATAAATGCTGTTGATGAAATTTGGTATTTATATCCAATTTCAGGTGCATATGGCAGAAACTATAGAAAAACAGGCCAAAGAACAAGATATTCAAGATACCTCTTCAAGTACAAAATAAAAAAATTATATTTTATTTTGCAATTTTTTTGGTTTATACATGCCAGTGACTTGTGAACTTTTAACAAACTTATTTTGTACAAGAAAACATACTGTATAAGAAAGAATATTGAATATGTTTATATATATGCAAATTTATTAGTTACAAGTTATAATATGATTATATTGGCTTGATTAAGCTCGGCTATGAATTTGAATATTTGAACATTCTTTTTAATTCAAAATTTTTGTTTTTCTGAAATATTTTAATTAATTTAATAGACAAGTAAAAGGTAAGAAAACATGAAATACTATAATAAATAATGGAATTTTGAAGGAAAAACTAGCATCATACTAGTTGGAAATACTAAAAATAAGTAAATGTGCTTGTTCTGATTATTAGTGTATTAATATATATTTATGTTAATATTCTACCTAATAAAAGTTAAGCTTAACAACGAAAAGAAATTCTGTCATAGAAGAGACAAAATTATGCAATTTATCACTACAGTTTATCAACTGTAATTGGAAATTACAACTAAGGAAAGACTTTTAGTCATGCTTTGCTTGAAAACTACTTTGGTTGACTGTTATTTTTGTTTCTGTATTTATATATGTATAAAAAATGTATTTGTGAGTGTCACCAAAAAGAGAAACATTCAAGTATTATGAAATAAAAATTTTGTTTTTCTGTTAATTCGTGTTCCTTATTGACTATTGATAAGAAGGTTGATAAGTGATTAGAGATTGTCATAAGTGATTACATACTACCAAGTTTTAATTAATTTAAAGCTTGATGTTACTTCAAACCATCTTTATCTCAGTACTTATTTTTTCAATAGATTACCATGCAAACATTTACAAAATAAATAGGTACCATTCTTATTTATTGTCTGGTGTAAATGATTTATATCAAAATATCCCTTTTTTATGATTTATTTTTTGTTTACTTCTTTGGCCCTCTTTTTTATAATTTTGGTTAACTTATTCTTGGTCTTGGTCTGCTTTTAATAATACAATTTAAATAGAATTTATTATAATCTTTATTAGTACTCCGACGTTTCGATCTTTAGATCTTTTTCAAGGAACGACATTGAACGTAGATATATCTTGTCAGTTATACATATATATGTCTAAAATTTAATTACATCAGTTGTAGTGTGAGTTCATGTCAATATGTATAAAAAATTAATAATTTTGTAAATTTAATTTTTTATACATATTGACATGAATACACACTACAAAACTGATGTAATTAAATTTTAGACATGTGTATAACTGACAAGATATATTTAATTTGTTTCGATCATGTTTAGATATTTGTTCCTTGAAAAATATCTAAACATGATCGAAACGTCGGAATACTAATAAAGATTATCCAGCGCCGGTTTATACATAAAGCGGGACAAGCGGCCGCTTGGGGACCCGGGACCCGAAGGGGCCCGTATTTCGGTTATAAAAAAATATAATTATGAAACTGAAGAAGAAGTTAATAAATAAATGTTTTTTTAAAAAAGGTAAAGTAAATATTTTAACTAAAACTTCGAACCTGCATTGTTGACTACCATATGGTTTAAAATCTTAGAAAAAGTTAATGTTACGAGCAAAGCTTTGCAAGATCTATCACTAAATATATTTACTAGCATCGAGTTATTGAAGTCACAGGTATCATTTGTTCAAACACTCCGTGGAAATTTTGACGGTATCGAAATTGACCCAGCGACTTTAGTGGATGACGCTACCTATGAAGAAGATATTTCTCAAACTAGAAAAAGAAAAGTATTTTTCAATGAATCAAAAGAAAATGAAGTTCACCTAAGTGGCAAAAAGAAGTTTAGGGTGGAAGCCCATTACGCAATACGACTCCATAATTCAGGATCTTGAAAGACGAACTAAAAGCTATCACACTGTCAACGAACGTTTTAAGTGTTTTTTAGCAATATCGATGACATAGCATTTGAAGAGTCTGCCAATATCTTGAAAAATACATGTAAGTCGGATGTAGAAGGAGATGTATAGAAGGATATTATCATAGAAGGATCAAATATCGAAAAATTAAATTACAATTTAATAATTGACCAGTTTACAAAAGAGAAATGTAGAAAGAAACACACTTGATCAATGTCACAAATTTTTATTTTGTTTATTTATTAAGTTATTTCTTTTATGTTCTGTTCAAAAATTATAAATGTTTTATTTTTGCGTTAAATGTTGTATCAGGTGGAAAAAAATCCCAGTTTTGAAAATGGTTTTAATTGATTCCTCTAGACTTGTGCTGATATGTGTCAAAAGTCCCCGAAGATAAACGATGAGCTCGAGGAGAGGGGAGGGGTTAAATGCCACTTTTATGACTTTTTAGCTTATATCTCGGAAAATATGACACTTACGAAAAAACACCTTATATAGAAAATTAGAAAGCATAGAAAAAAAAGCATAGAAAATTCTCTACAAAATTAGTTGAATACATTTGTTTCATAGGTCTAAGCACAAACTAACTTAAACAGATGCGACACCTTATGGGAAATTTTGTGTTCAAAAAGACCTATGTTCGGAAGTGCGACGACAGGGCGGCGATACCGTCGATGAAGGCAAAATATTCGGCCAAACAAACAGCCGTGGTGACTTCAAATCGTTCCCGCACTCCCCCCTTTCCTAAGCTTCCATTTCTTTCGTTCTTTCTCGCCTTTAACCTTGCCTTTGATACACCGCGCCGTCTCGTCTGGCCGTCGCAGCCGTCGCACGATTATAAAGTCAAAGCGAGATTGCCAGCTTGAACTTTTTTTATGTGAGAATTAAATGTTATATGTACTTGTATTAGCACGCTTTCTCCTGGATAATAATAAATAACTATAATTACATGATGTTAGGAAATATCAGCTAATATTTATTTGTAAAGTATGAGAAATTTACAAACTTTAACAATGGATTAAGATCAATACATATGTATAAAGAAAATGACGATTTCTTTAAAATTAAAAATGATATAAAATATCCGAAATATAAAATTCTTAAAGAATAGGATCTTTGTTGTCAGCTTGCCGTTTGTATTCCAGCTGTTAATTTCAAATATTACTCTAAAGTCTATCTACTATTAGCCAGCTTAAATTATCTTTAATATCCTGCTTGTTAATAGTTTTATGCACTACTATCATTTTATTTGATATTTTAAATTGATTTAAAATTTAGCAGCTGATCTTTTATATAGCAAATAGGTACTTTTATGATACAGACACGGCATATTGTTTGCATGTGCCGTGATACCGATATAGTTTATACAAATTGGTAAGTAGAATTGGCAACAGTGTCCTAGAAAAAGAATATGGGAATCTAAGATGGAAATATTGAAGGTTTTCAGAGGATTTTTAAGTCAGTTTCTTCAGTTGTTTCACGTGGATATTACATACATCATTATTATTAGCTGTTTCCGATTTTAATTTTCTGTTGGGTTTTGTTGGTTTACATTTAGTTAGTTCACGGTGTTCTTAGTATTGTTTTAGTTAATTCAGTTTAAGTTTCTTGTTTTGATTTTATTTAAAATGCTTTTAAAAAAATGTGCTTTCAATGGATGAGAAAACATTTCACTAAAAACTGAAGAAGATACATTTTTTAGATTTTCTAGGACTAAATTATATCAAAAACTGTAGGTGTTTTTTCCGAAAATACCTATATTTTCTAATACGAAAAAAGCGAATTTAAATAGACATACAGTTCGATCAAATAATTGACTTATTAACTACATAAACTTTGTAAAAATATTATACTTCTATGCAGGTAGTAATAAATTTTCATGCCAACTTTCACCCCTATCATCCCCGAGATGAGGGATTTTCAAAAATCGTTTCTTCTACTCTATACTATTGCTTCCCAATTATACTTAAGCATATTTGGCCAAATTTTAATTCATAAATATTATGTACTTCTAAACCACATAGTACTAACGAATTTTCATAAAATTTTGCTCTTAATTTTACCCCTTTAGGAAATGAGTTTCGAGAAAACGCTTCGTAAGTATGCCACACCGAAATATCATACTTCTATACCAAATATTAACGAATATTTGCAATATTATCCTTAGAGAAACCTTTATTGTGTAATGCTTTGAATGAACAGGTTTTTATTTTATGTTTTGCTTTATAATTGTTCAGCCCTAATTTTACCCTCCTCGGGGATGAATTTTCATAGTCGCCTCTCATATAGTCATTGCGTTACTTAAGAAACCTTTTGAAATTATTAATAACAAAATTATTGTATGTTCTTAGGACGAGATTTTTACAAATTTTTATATAAATTTCTACCACTAATTTCACCTCTTTAGGGGATGAAATTACCTTTGTGCAAAATATTAAACTCCCAGAACCAATTTTACGGAATGTTTGTACCGACTTTTTTTCTTTTTGGGAGATGAAATTTAGGGATAATTATAATAATTATAGTTGTTGCAAAGATATTTAAACTCAACCATTAACATACAAACTGGATAAAATGTTCTCACATTTATGTCCTGAGCCTGAGAAAAAACAATATGGCGATATTATTATATAACTTGGTAATATTTGACGGGTAGTTTCATCTCGTTGGAATTTGACTTTCGAAAAATCTGTTTGCCAAAAATATTTTTTTTACTTCAAGCAGTTTAAGCAGAATCGTAGTTAATCAATTACCCAACTTTTGAACACCCTGTATGATTTTTTAAAAAAAATCAAAATATGTAAAAAACAAAATAAATTATGCGTGTCCAAGCGTTTTCCCGAAAGACTAACCGTTTTTTAAATAACAAATATTGTAATATTTGAGGGGCATTTTCACCCTCTTGGAATCGAGAAACCCCTCCTTATCGAATCTCTACACCCCACAGACAATCCGTTTGCCAAAAATCAGCTTTAAACGTCAAGCAGTTTAAGCAGAATCGTGATTACTCAATGGTCATATTTTATGAAACACCCTGTATAAATTTTTAAAAAATTTTAAAATATGTAAAACAACAAAATAAAATATACGTTTTTAAGAGTTTTTCCGAAAAACTCATCGGTTTAAAATAAAAATATTCTAATATTTGAGGGGTGGTTTCACCCCCTTAGAATTCGAGTTTCGAAAAATCCCTTCTTATCGAACCTCTACACCCTAAAGTCAATCCGTTTTCCAAAAATCAGCTTTTTACGTCAAGCGCTTTAAGCAGGATCGTGATTAATCAATGACCAGATTTTTCCAAACACCCTGTATACATTTTTAAAAAATCTTAAATTATGTAAAAAAAACAAAATAAAATATACGTGTTTAAGCGTTTTCTCGGAAACTTGACCGTTTTTTAAATTAAAAAATATTGTAATATTTGAGGGATGGTTTCACCCCCTTGGAACTGGAATTTCGAAAAATCTCTTCTTATCGCACCTCTACGCCCTAGAATCAACCTGTATGCCAAAATTGAGCTTCTTACGTTGAGTGGTTTGAGCAGGATCGTGATTAATCAGTGAGTCAGTCACTTAAGAATTTTATATATTAGTAGGTATAGATTGTGAATGTATCAAAAATTGAAAAAAAACTAATGAAATTAAATTCATCTCTATTTGATTCCGAACTACAAAATTCCCTCTCTATTTTCTACACAAAGGAGGCGTGGCTTCTTAGTAAACGAATGGAGGTTACTTTGCTGGTCCACTGTAAAATTCGCCTATATGACAAATCTAACGGAAAAATTTG